ATTCGTTTGTCCGTGTCTGTGGATGCTTTAAAGTCCAGAATTTTAGAGTTCAGAGAGTTAATGCTGGTGGTCAAAGTTTCATGTGATGAACGAAGTTCAGCCAGAAATTCCGCTCTGAATGTGGAAATCTTCCCGTATAGTCGTTGTTAGAACATTTTTCAGCAGAGCAGGGGTTAGCCCACCGCTAGCTCTAAAGTTGGAGCAGGCAATGCTACTCTCACTTTGAGTGCTAGCCTCCTCAGTATGTGGTGAATCCGTCACGTTTCGTTTAGCTTTTGGCATCATGAGGGTTCCAGTAGTGTCTGTCAACTTCAAGGAATAAAAATGCAGTGAAGAAAAAAATGTAATTGTGCCAAGGGACTGAGCAAAAAGAGAGAAGACATGGAGCAACTCCCACACGTCTTACTCCTGCAGTGGAATACCGGAAGTCCCAAGTGATGGAAATTTTTGAGTGTGGATGAAATATGACCCTTTATTTTATTTCTGTTTGTTTGTTATTTGATTTTATGATTAGTTTGTGAAACTGTAAATTAGTTGCTTGATTTTTCCACTGACAGTAACAGAACCAATAACGAGAACTGACCCATTTTCCGTTTTCAATACTGGATTTTGAAATGATAATCAAATGAACAGAAGGTACACGGACCTCCGTGTATTTTTTGGTCATTCAATTTTCATTTCAAATCCAGTATTAAAAAACGGGGAAAAGGGACGCGCCCAGTCTGTGTGCCTTCTGTTCTTTTGATTTTCATTTTAAAAACCAGTATTGAAAAACAGCAATTGGGTCAATTCTCGTTTTTGATTCTGTTATTGTCAGTGGAAAAATCATGAAATAGCTTAGTTTTACAATTTCACAAACTAATCATAAAATCAAATAACAAACAAACAGCAATGGAATAAAGGGTCGTATTCTAATGATCCAGATTTAGAATTTCCCATCATAAGCAGAAATAAACATGCAGAGCGCTGGTATGGAAGCTAAGAAATCACAGAAATCAGGCCTGTAGTTCTGGTGTATTGGCAGGCTATATTACTTTTTGTATAAGCACTTGTATATTTGACCTGTACAAATTATATAAGAAAGAAACGATATAGGGAAGAAACTGAATTCCCACCATTTGATGTGGGCTTTGTGCTCCCTAGATCAAGAAGTATTCTGTCGGTGTTGTGCCAAACTCCCCTATGCGTGCGCGCGCATCATATATGGACACTAGATTACATTCTGTCTTTCAGTCATAATGACCAGTACTGTAGCCTCTTGGTGAGACTGTAGCCTCTCAGGAGAGACTGTCATTCTGCTACGAGAAGTGCTCTTTATTGACACCTGCAGAAAAGGCTCATACAGGGCAGCCTGTTAGCAATGAAGGTCACTTCCGCTCCCTCCGCTTCATCGTAGACACTTAACCCAACTAACTAAACACACCCACGTTATCACCCCTGAAAAATGTTGAATTCCCTCTTTTGATTCAGACCATCATACAAAACGCTCACAGAAGCGAACTGAACACAGGGTCCTGAGCACAGAGACCCCTGGGACAGCTCTAACGCGCCTCTAAAGCTCCTTTCCCCCAAAACCGGAGGCAGCGCCGCCGTCACATGACTATGAGAACACTATGAACCCACATGATCACAGGACAGCGCACATGGCGGGAGTCGTGTTTTTATGCTAATAGAAAAAAGACACATATAAAACGTTATATAGCCTTCCATAATGCCAGATGTAGGCTGACGTTTTCAACACTCATGCTCAATCTTTCCTGTTCTCATAATTTTTTAACCACGTCAGCCTGATTTCTGAGCTCCTGCGACTATGGGTGCACTCTGCAGTTTATTGTTGGTTAATTTAAATCAGTTAAAATCAACCCTTTATTCCATCGCAGTTTGTTTGTTTTTTGATTTTATGATTAGCCTGTGAAACTATAAAATAAAACTAAAAAACTATTTTTTTTGACTGACAATAACAGAATCAAAAACGAGAATTGACCCAATTGCCGTTTTTCAATACTGGATTTTGAAATTAAAATCAAATGAACAGAAGGTACACGGAGGGACAATTCTGATTCTGTTATTGTCAGTGGAAAATTCAAGAAATAGCTTCAATTTACAGTTTCACAAACTAATCATAAAATCAAAATACAAAAAACAGAAGAAGTATAAAAGGTCATATTTTATTTATCCAAATTGAATTTTTTCTATCACTTGAACCGGAAATAAACGTGCAGAGGGCAAGTGTGGTCACAGAAGCTCAGAAATCAGGCAGTAAAAAAAAATTATAAAGACAGAAAAAAACGGGCATTAATGCTGACAGGCCTGCTCCTGGCATTTTGGGAGACTATATCATGTTTTATAGATGTTTGTATATCTGATGTAGATATTCTATTAGCAAAAACCTAAAGCGATATGGGGAAGAGACTCTACAGGACTCCCGCCATTTAACAGCGAAACCAAAGAGAAATGAAAGTCTGCCCTATAATGATGAGAAAAAATAATACTGTAATGTCACGTCATCAGAGTGTTACAGCTACTGTGTTGTTGCTCCAGACTTAAGAATTAAACCTGTGAGCTGTCCCATGTTCATACTGTTCTTATAATATCGTGGCAGCTGCCACTGGCTTTGGTTTTGGGAAGGTGCTTTAGAGGTGCATTATGCAGAGCTGTGCAGAGGGCACCGCCCCGTAAAATGGATTAATGTCATTAATGTTGTTGTTCTGTTAGTCGAAAATGTATGTGTGTTATTTGTGTTATTCTGTAGCCTCTCCCGTGTCTCCTTCTTCACCAAGAAAATCACCATTTCGACTGAAAGAAACAAAACTCTCACTGTGAGACAGAGACTCTGTGTTTGGCTTTAGGTCTTGTTGTGCTGTTTGTTGTGAAGGAAAAGTCTGGATTAACCATTATTTACACACAGAAACAACCGAAATCGCGAGTCTAATCTGTAGCGTCCATATGCCCAAGAGACACGCCTGCAGGTGAAGGGGAGTCGTGGTTTCTGCAAAACCCCTACAAGCAGACCAGATTTCAGTGAATTCTGAGCTTTTTGCGACCACATGTGTAATGCACGCTTATTTCCGGTTAAGGTGATAATTTTTTTATTTGGATCAGTAAAATACAAGCATTTATTCCATTGTTGTTTGATTTTATGATTAAACTGTAAAGCTAAGCTATTTCTTGATTGTTGCACTGACAATAACAGAACCTAAAACGAGAATTTACCCATTTCCCCACTTTTCAATATTGGTTTTCAAATGAAAAATCAAATGACCAAAAGATACACAGACACTCCGCCTTCTCTAATCCTCTCATCCATTTTGCGAAGTTGTGGTCACGAACTGTGATGCTGTAGGCTAGTTAACTAACTAAACTGGCTAGCCAGCTAGTTGTACTGCACATCTCTGATTTAATACTGTCGTGTCAGCGTAGACATGTGGAGCCTGTGGCGGACACCAGAATATCTTATAGTGCGCGTTTACCATGTCTAGTTGTGTGAGAGGTCAAGGGGCAGAGGGTGGGAGGTTTTTTCACATATTAATAGATGTGGCTGCATTGTGCTCTAGTTTAGTTAATCTTTTGCACAACTAACAAGTCAGACTACCCACCGGAAAATCTCCCGGTTCTTCCGATGGGCAGTTGGAGGGGCTCAATAAAAAAAAATGGGAGGCTGGTCGCCGCAGGCCCTCCATCGCTGTGTGCCCCAATGCGACTGCCCACCCTGCCCCTCCTCTAGTCATGCCACTGTTCCACAGCACAGAAGACAGAAAACTTATGTGACATTTCATGTAGTTTTTTTATGTCCTTTTATCATAGGAAAAGTGGGAGTGCTGAGATTGGAATATCACCCCAAACACCGCTCATATGGAGGGAGAACCAATCAGCATTTAGGACCAGACATGACAGGGACTTTCTCTTCTGAATTGCAAACTGGGAGTATCCTGACTCCCAATCACCAATTTCTGAGAAGAATCTCCAGCTCCCCTCTGACTGATCCAATTCTGTCAGACCCTTACTCATCAGCAAACAAGATAACGCATACAAGGTGCACTGAGTCTACTCCCATGATTCCCTGGAAAATGGGGCAAAGACTGATGGTATCGGTCACTGTCTCCTATTTCCTTTTGTGTTAACCATCATGAGTACCTCATTCATCCTGCTGGACTAGGACCCCTATTATTATTTTTATTATTATTATTGTCGTTGTTGTTTTGTTGTTGTTGTTAAAAATATTATTTTATTATTATTTATATTATTATTTTATTATTATTGCTATTATTGTTGCCTTCCGCCTATTGACTGCTGGCACAGGCTCCAGCTCCCCCCGTGACCCAGAAGGATAAGCGGTTCCGAAAATGTGTGTGTGTGCTATTATTGTTATAATTATAGATTTTGTTAGTCTGGACAGCAAAAACACATGAAATATGGGGTTTGAAAATTGGATCCAAACCCCATTTGGAGGTAGTCTGGAATGTGATTCCAATTAGATTTTTACAGATGCCTCTCAGTCTGGACGCTCTGGCTGCTCAAACTTAATTTTTACATCACTCACAACACGACATACAACGAGTGACGGAAGTGCTGGGATTCAAGTAGAGCCTCAAAGATTCATGCCTATGCCAGAGATTAATGAACAGTTTGGAGAGTTAGATGATGGTGATTCCATCTTTCCTGCACCCGCGTTTGCCCTCCACATCACCAGCATAGCTACGTAGTTACTGACGTCTATATTGTTACTATAGCAACGTTTGCAGGTCAGATGGTAATGTCTGGATACACAAATCTGATCAGATCACTTGCAAATAATAGTGCGGACAGACATCTCAAACAATCTAATTTGAGAAACAAATCCGATTTGTCTGTAGCCTGAACATAGCTTTCATAGCTTTATTTTTGCAGCTGGAGCTGTTGCTAAAAATTTGAGAGCAGCAGCTTTCTCCAGGGTGGCAGGGGTACCATTATGTTCTCAAACCTCACAAAGCAAATTTTATTTGAAAGATTTGCAGCTGTACCTCACTGAGAACCTGTCCAGCATTCTTGACTCGCAGGAGATCTGGCGTCTCTTCTAGACTAGTCAGGCCTTTTCCCTTTACCTCCAGCTCCAGATCCTTTCTGTAGTTCTTCTGTAGATCACAACAGACACATTGGAAATGGCTCTTTTACAAGTAATCAGTTCCTATAGGGAATGTGGACAATGCTACATTTAGCAATATGTTGACATTCTTGTAATTAAACCTGAGAATCATACTTGCCTTAAAAGTTTATTTGCATTGCAGACTGCAAGTAATCAAGTACTATGAGAAACGTTGTCTTTACCTCACTCAAGAAGTTGCTGGCATTGCCATGCAACTGGTATTGACTATTTTTTGCTTTTAAGATCTATTCTAATGGTCTTCTTCCATTCCTGATATCAAACACAACAGTGAATAATTATATGCAATATTTAAACAAACCAAAAAATAAAAGTGGACATCACCTCGCTCTGCATTTTCTGAGCCTCCTTGGACACTCTGTAGAACTGTGTATCAACAAACTCCATCTTCAGTTTACCTTTGTTCTTCTCATACTCATGTTTATACTTGACCTACTTCCACAGTCACCATTTACAAAAATTAAACAAAAAGATCAAATGACATTAGCAAACAAAACACAGATATGATAATAAAAACATACTGAAAAATATTTTTTGCTACCGATAATGAGAAGACATCATCACTGCCCTTTCAAGGGAGGGGTTTCCTGTTCAATATCAGTGAAAAAACTGTATTCTGCCAAGTGTCAAGACATATTACAATACTTCAAATGACTACTATTTTTGGTAGATGAATATTGTGAATTTGAATTTGAACGCTGTAACAGATGCCTAAAAGGTGCCAAGCCACCTTATAAGGACACGCTGTGGCCATGTTGCAAACAAGTGTAAAGGCTTTAATCCTTTATTTGGTTTTATTACACATTCCTACAACCTAAGAATACCTCAGGCAGTTTGCATTGAAGTCCCTGTAGTTACTGAATGATAAGCCTGGCATTTCAAGGGGTTAACATGTGGCAACTGTGCCTGTCTGACTGTCTCACCTTCATATTAGTAGAATTTCCCAGATGACGGAAATGCGTATAAATTCTTGATAATACAGTGTGTAGAATTGCCTAAATCGAAAATGTGCTGATTAATGTGACAATTTGTGGCCAATCATTTTTAGTAAATGCCAAAGTAATGACATTCATAATTTTTTATCAAAATTCTACACGTGCCATTTTTCTCTACATTAATTCAAATTACAGATTTCAATAGTTTCATTAATTATCTCATTTAAATAGTTAATCATATGCAACTGCAGTGAGATGCTTTCCTATCTTTTCACTTTTGATATTACAAATAAAAAGAGAAACCCGATTAAATTGTAAATAAAGGGCGTGTACTTTAGACATTTTAATACTATGAGTATATTAGAGGGAGACTTGTGAGTGAAATAATCATAGGAGACCAAATCATCCTTAATTTCAGCAACTTTAATAAAAACATCCTTGATTTCAGCAATTTCAATAGATTACCTGACTGTGCAGAACTGTATTTTCTTTATGGTGGATCTGTTCTGCTGTGTCCAGGGTGAAGTGATAATGTCCTTTAACCTGTTCATACTTCTTCCGGTACTGCACCTGAGGGAAAGAGTTTTCAAATGAAAATGGCTCTTAAATTGATCCAAATAACACCTGGCATTTTTAACTGTGAAAGCAATGAAGGCACTGAAACCCTACTCTTTTATTAGGCCATTGCTTTGTGGATAGTGTGGGTATGTTATACTTTTAGAGAATTCCTGAGCCTTAACCAAAGTTTGGGAATCTTTACTATGGCCCACATGCAAATATAACTATATCTGGGATGCCATGCAGTAGAATGCAGTTTTCTAGCTCAAAGTACCTGCTGTAATACTCAACATCAATGAATGTAAATCTTTATTGTTCCACATGAATAAATCTGTGGCCATTACCCGCCAAGGTCTATCAAGTAGTTTATGGCTGATCATGGGCTCTTTGGCATTTGAGAGATATTGTACTTTTCTATGCCAATGTGGACAGCATGAATATGTGACAGCTTGTCTGCACTTAGAAAGCGAGGAATGGAAATTCTATGGCTATTGAAAATCCCATTTATTCTCCAAAATCATATATTTGACATTAGTCATGCTTTGTAGGTATTTCCTTCTCTCATTGCCTATCCTTCCTTTATGACCTTTTTTCTTTTCCACCCTTTACTGATGGAAATGTTTGCAACCAACGTAAATGGCATACCATCCCTTCTAAATTTGTCCATAGTTGATTTCACTGTCTGTATAAGATTTAGAGGCATATGCTACAGGTTTGCCTTCAGATAACAGGACAGCACCATGTTTTGACAATTTTGATGCATGCATCTACAGTCTAAGCTCCTTTTGTAGGCTAGGACAGGGTCTTGTTATTTTATTTTCTAGCATGCTGGACCATGCTGTGTCTCCTTGGCAAACTCAATTAAATTGTTCAGAAGCTGAATTTTTATGGTAGACAGGCTGGGAGCAAACTTTGCCAGATAATTCACCATACCAAATATCACTTGTAGCTCCACTTTGTCTTTTTCGTGTCTCTCACAGTAGCAACCAATTGTTTGGTCTTATGTCTTTAACAGTAAGGTGATGTCAGAAATAATTCACTGGTTCCAATTATACAGGTTTTGGGGTTCAGCCTGACTCCATACTCATGAGAGTGTTGTTGCATTGTGTCATTTTCAGTCATGTTTATCTTTGGTCCTTCCATAGTCCAGTATGTTATTTACAATTTCTGAGGCACCTTTAGGCCCTCATGCTTTTGTCATTTTTCACTAAAAAGTCTTCCTGGGCTGAAATTATGCCAATGAGTAATGAGTAAATAAAAGGATCCACAGAGTTCAAATACCATGTTGAATGTAGAATTCAGTGAGCTTAACTAACCAAAATCCGGATCTAGCATACAGATAATAGATCTAGCAACGCAGATAATAACAATCTCAGCTAGTAGCTAACAATACGGCAATGAGAGAGATTTAAGACAAACATTGATAATTTGGAGACGGATGAACTTATTTGCATTGATAATCACTCCAACTAGTTTCCTGACATGTTTAATCTGCAACGAGAAACTGTCAAACACTATGGTGCGAAGCTGCAGCTTTTCTTTCGCCAGCTTCTTGTTTGAATTGTCCCGTTCCACCTTAAATGACGGAGCAGTTACATTCTGGCGCATCAGGCACCATTTAAGGTGCGAGAAAAGCGGCTACAGCTGACCTAAAGCTTAAAGCAGAGCAAAGTAAATCTGTGTTTTCGTTTATATTATATTTTTAGACTATACTAGTACATTAGCACATACTGAGACATTTACAGCCTAAATTGGACAACGAACTAAAATGGACACAAAATGTTGTGTCTCCCAAGGTGGTTTAATTCTTGTTGAGAGGACAAAATGGCTCTTGTTAACATTTCGGTTGTCGACCCCTGAGGTAAGCCTACTAAGGGGTGATCAGCACGTGGGGCCAGCGCGTGACCGTTTACTCAAACTGCCCGTGGCTCAGTCAGGATTGCACAGTCGCCACCAGCCCAGTTAACGACCGTGTTCTATGGTTCAAATTTTGCACAGATTGTCTTAAGCCTGTAGCGAAATTGTAGCGAAAATTATCACTATAGCTACATAAAAATTTGCAGGCGCTACAGCTATTAGCTACATTTCATAAAACTGTAGTGGCTACAGCTATTAGCTACAAAAATGTGTAGTTAGCTACAAAAAGTAGCACGCTACCTAGCTACTCCCCCATCCCTGCATATATGAAACATGCCTGTAGGGAAATTCACAACTACAGCCAGTGTGTTTACCAAGTCTGTCAGTTCTGTGAGCTTTGTAATTATGCCAAGCTACTGCACTGACTGCAGCTATTTTTTGAGTCAGCTTAGCAGAGAGAGGTGTGTGCATTTAAGTAGGTAAACTATAAGCCTGGCTTTGAATAAATTGCTCTCATTAAAGAGTGTGGCCTTTTCATAACACTGAATCAATAAACTGTGTGTCTCACTGTGTTCTCCCACTGAATGCGCTGCTTCCTGCAAAATGGTTGCAATTTCTGCATTTTATTAGAACTGTTTGTCTTTAGGCTATTTGACTAGGCCATATGAAATTGTCTTTTCTGTAATCACAACAAAATCAATTAAGCCCATGTTCATGTTTTGCAAGAGACGTTGTTCTATGTATTTCAGCAAGCGTGACCATGGTTGGAAAAAAGTGCTAACTTATGCTAGTTCAAGCTTCTCATGTGCATCTGTTTTCTCAGTGTTGTTCTCAAGTGTGCTGATGTATGGTGGTTGACTGCATGCATAGGCTATTTGCACAGACTCCTGGGGCTTCCAGCTAAAGTTTTGAGCTGAATTCGTGCTATTTGATGAGGCCTTGCAACGTTCATTGCCTTGTCCTTCAAGCTATCCCATCCTTACATACAATTCCTTTTTCTATGCTTTTTTTTTAGATAAAATAAAAAGATATAAGTGAGTAATGAGTTGTCTTTTCGCATATACACTGTAAAATGCATACAATGGTTGTTTTACAAATTTTTACACGCTTGCCATAACAAATGCGGTGGTATATTTCAAAATTGTGATTATAAGAATACAGAAGAGATACTATACATTGCTCTGAATTCTGCTGACATGCAAATTATGGGCCAGATGGAGTAGATTAGGCAAAGCAGTAGCAGGTTTGTGGATCTGTTTCTGACTGCTTTTGTACTTAACCTGAAACAGAAACATGCAAAAATAATAGTTTTAAAATGATGAATATAATCACTTATACCTCTAAAAGGTAATAAATGCTTATTACAATTAAAGTAATATCTGCTACAAACATATTACATCAAAGTTTGTATTTCATCAAATAATTACTGCATCATAGTACTTCACACACACTTCAGCAAACAACCTTCTAAAAATATGTTTCTTTTTCAAAAGTGACAAGCTTTTGAAATCAAGATGTGCCCTAAATTATAACCTCTACAAGGAGGAGAGCTTGTTCTCTGAGGTATGAGGAATTATTCTGGAGTGCTTACAAGACTATTAGGCAAAAAACTCAAAAACATTATTACACAATTGTTCTGAAATTCTTCCAAGCAACATCTAATTAACTCCTTAAATGACCAGGGCAAACTGGCAGGCCCAAAGTTTTATTACACACTTCTATAATCTATAAATAGCTCGGCCAGTTTGCACTGTAGTCCCTGTAGTTACTGAATAATAACCCTTAGTGTGTAAAAAGCCTGGGATTTAAGGGGTTAACATATATTCCCATTTTTACTGGGAATACAATTTCAGGAACAGCTGAATATTTAGGAACATATCTGTGACTTTCTGGTTCACTTGGGTATGACATGAAGCAGGCCAAACATCATTTATCATCCAGCAATATGTGGAAAACTGTTGAATATGGTGACATTCATTAATACCAACAAATAGTATAAAATCCTCATGCCATAACCTTCCACTGTGTAGGAATAATTAAATCATTAGACACTAATACTGGGTATGACAATGATCCAAATTCATATCAAAATAGTTCACAAGAATTTCCAGTGGTTACACTAGTCTCCTGACCTTAACCCCACTGAAACTCTCTAACATTAGATGAGCTGAAAAGAACAATTCATGAAGGATCTGGATTTTTAAGGAAGAATGGTCTCAGATCCCTATATATGTAAACGAGAAAGACATTTTTTGATCATCTTCACAAGGTGCCAATCATTCTGGGGGAAATAGTTTTTATATACTGCATTTAAAGGGGCCTGCAGGATGGAGAATCAGGTGCAGTGAACAAGCAGGCTGATTAGGCTGTGTTCCACATATGCGCGGCTTCTGACAGCTTTTGACTGCCTTTTTTCTGTAGACTACAGGAGACCTGAGAGACACAACCAAGCAGAGCGGAATCCCCATTCTCAGGGATTAGAACAAAAATTTTTTTAATGTTGTTTTATGTTTTATGTTTAAATTAAAAGCTCTGCAGCTCTCATTTCTGCATCCAGTTTACTCACTCCATTCACAAGCCCAGGTTCTACAGGACTGTTTTCTTCACTGTAGTTTAATTTGTTCCCTGAGATTCAGTACCAAAAACACTTATTTTTAATTCATTCTTACATGGCCATTTTCCAACTTTTCTTTATTCTTTAGAATTAAACAGTGTGTTTTTGTTATTATGCCTTAAAGACCGATAAATGTAAATGAATTCATGTTCAGATTGGTTACTCTGCATTGTACTGTCTATGGACTGGGGAGTGAATAGAACATCTTGAAACTTTAACAGTGCTAACATACTACATTTTTTAACATGTTTACAAACTCTTTCTTCAAAAAGCAAGGACATTGAGTTATCCGTGATATGGGCTCTTTAAATAAAAATTCATGTTATTTACCTTTTAAAAGTTTCCTAAAGAGGTCTGATATTTGGCAGCAATTAGAAGCATCTAGTGTAAACTCAGCATGTATAGCAGCCCATCATTGGTAACTTTTTTTAGTTATAAAAAAAGTTATAACCACCATAAAGGAAACTGGATGATAGTGTAAGTTTATAGTTTATCAAAAAAAAAAATAATGTAATATAATTGAAGTATAAATTAATACAATTTACTTTTTTCATTTGTTTTCCATGAATACAACGAGGAATCCATAAGATTCCCAGATGTGTGGAAGCAGTATATTGTAATACCTGACTCACAATCGCTGAGGCAGCTTGTGAATGTTTAAATGACACACAGTCTCTTGGATTGTATTGTGGCTTCTGGGCTTTTGCGAACTTCTGCTTGTAGTATATCTACATAAACAAAGAACATTTTTTTGTGTATATTAATGAGAGAGAGAGAGCAAGAGAAAAAGGGAAACAGAGAGGTAGAGTCAGAGAGGACATCAGACAATAAGGAAGCAAAATACAGCACCCGGTGGACAGTCAGCAGAGGACTATATAAGGAAATAGCTGCAAACAATTATCAGATACACAGAATAAACATTAAGAAAGGCATGATATAAAGGAGACAAACCAAAAACAAAAAAAATAAAAAAACAGAGATGGTCACATGAATTGGGTTTAAATGAGAAAGGTATTACTGAGCAACTAGATTAATAAACTCTTATTAGATTCTGTGCCTGTAGTAATATTTTTTCTGAGCAAGCAGCACCCTTCTTCAAAACTTCTAGCTGCTTTTTGGGCATCAGCAATGTGCATGTAAAAATATGTGGATAGAGGGAGTTAACAATACAACAAAGTCAAATGTTTTTAGAATATTCACGTTACACTTCCTCTTACACTTCAAGTTAAACTTCCACCAAAAGCAGATGATTTGGCAGGTGAGGGTATCATGACTGGATAAAAGTAGCATCCACTGAAGGCTCAGTCTTTGCAAGCAAAGATGGGTCGTGGCTCACCACTTTGTGTCAAACTTCATGAGAGAATTATCAGTTCAGAAGGATTGGAAAGAATTTAGGTCTTTGACTATCATTTTGCAAAAAGATTCAGAGAATTGGGAGAAATCTCAGTCCTCTTTTCCCAGACTATTAAAAAGTATATTTCAAAAATGTCATGTAACACAGTGATAAACATGCCTCTGTCCTAAAACTGATTTATTCAGTTTAATTGCTTAAAATGTTCCCTGTCAGTGTATTACCTTGTTTGCCTAGACATATTTCTAATACTACAGATCCAAATTCGGTAACACTTTACATTAAGGGTCGCTAATCAATCATTAAATATATAATAATCAACTATTAGCTTCCCATTATTTAGTTATTAGTTAACTCTTCATTAAGCATTAGCTATTACTTAGTAATTGATTAAGCACTTATCAATTAGTAATTAAGTACACTGTTAGTTGATAAGTTAGTTTGTCATTAGTTTGTGGCTTACTTACTCATTATGTGTGCTAATTGCTGCTTATTACATTTTACTTAATACATTTTACTTATTACAATACTAAAGTATTTTTCTTCATATAAAGAAGTAACGTGATAACTAGCACTTATGTGTTAATCCCGCTAAATATCTGTTAATTAACTTTCCATTACCTCCATATATTCAGTTGCTTCACTTTCTCACTTTGGTTCATTAAAGATGCTTATGGTCACATCTGACCGTAAGATGAGCGCACACAAATTCATGGACGGTTTTGTTATTCATCACGTTCATCTTGGTTTTTACATTTTACATTACATTTTACATTTTTTTTTACATTTTAATACTTACTGTGCATCTGCACACACAGTGAGGCGAGGGCTTTTGGAGGATGGCCTGGGGTCAAGAAGGGGAGCAAAGAAGCCACTTCTTTCCAAGAAAAAAATCAAGAACAGACTGACATTCTGCAGGAAGTACAGGGATTGGACTGGGGTAAAGTAATTTTCTCTAATGAAGCCCCCTTCAGACTGTTTGGGACATCTGGAAAAATTATTGTCCGGAGAAGAAAAGATGAGGCCTACCATGAGTCCTGTGTCATGCCAACAGTAAAGCATAAAAAAAAAACATTCATGTCTGGCCTAGGGTTGTTTCTCATCCAAGGGAGTGGGCTCAGTCACAATTTTGCCTAGGAACACTGCCATGAATAAAGAATGGTATCAAAACATCCTCCAAAAGCAACTTCTCCCAACAGACCAGGAGCAATTTGGTGATAAATGACGCTTTTTTCCAGCATGATGGAGCACCATGTCACAAGGCAAAAGTGATAACTAAGTGACTCGGTGAACAAAACATTACAATTTTGGGTCCATGGCCAAGAAACTCTCCAGATCTCAATCCCAGTAAGAACCTGTGGTCAATCCTCAAAAAGCGTGTGGAAAAACAAAAACACAGAAATTGTGATAAACTCCAAACACTGATTAGGCAAGAACGGGTTGCTATCAGTCAGAATTTGGCCCAGAAGCTGATGTCCAGCATGCTGGTGGGAATTGCAGAAGTCTTGAAAAAAGAAGGATCAACACTGTAAATACTGAGTCTTTGTGTCATGCATTCGGCTCCCTCTATGGAGGAAACGGACATCATCTCCCAGAATTCTCTGGGAGATCATGTGACTGAGCAGCCGCACTCGGAATCCGACTCTGACGAGAACTCCATTTCCCAGGATACTATGAAGTTTAATGTGACTTCAGACTCTCACAGGCGCTCCTATCAGCGCTCACAATCCCCTGAGTTTTGACTGCTTGCACCTGTGTTGATGATCATATGACAGGTAGTTTAGAGTAGATAAGCCCGGGCTTTAGTTAGAATCACTGCGAGGTATTGTTTCTCTGAGACTACTGAGCGTTTTTCATCCTGTTCTGATTGTTTACCGTGTTTGACCTTTTTGCTTCGTTTGACTCCGTTTTTGCCTATTGCCTATTCCTTTGGTACTTTCGCTTGTGTGTATGATCTGTGTTTTGACTTTCGGACTGTTTTTTGACTACGATCTCTGTTTTTCCCCTTTTGACTACGGCCGCTTGGTTTATATTAAACCACCTGCACTCACCATCCGCACACGTCTGGTTTTCTGTCCGAGCGTTACACTTTGCATAAACTTGAAGTGTTTATTAATAAAGGTTAAAAAAACGTATGAAATGCTCATAATTGTACTTCAGTATACGATAGAAACATCTGATAAAAAGATCTAAAAACACTGAAGCAGCAAACTTTGCAAAAGCCAAAATTTGTGTCATTCTCAAAACATTTGGCCATGACTGTATGTCAATGTTTATAAAAGTTTATGCATACAAATTTTTTCATTATGATTTTGCACTTTTAGGCAACTGAATACACACATTACTTCAAGTTCCATAATTTCTTAGCTAAAGGTTATGAGTATCATAACTACTAACTAAATAATTACTAATAAACTATTATTTATGATGTGTCTATAATCCTAAGAAAATGGTTAATAATGCCTGCGTTATAAATACATACTTATAAAAATTATGAATAAACTATTAGATGATTTACTCTGTAAAATTATTTTACATACACAATGTTTTACATAAACAAGACTTGTTTACTGAAATGAGGGCTTCACTTAATGAACATGTATGATAGAATGCAGCCTAATGTAACATATGACAGCAACATAATGTAGTCTACTTACTTACATTTATCACATATTATCAGCCAAAGTTAACTAATGTATGTGGCCTGACCAGGGCTGGCTTGAGGTACATAAGCATAGTTTAAAAAACAATTTAAAAATAGTAGTTTTTAGCTTTTTTGTTGTGGGACTAACCACACAAGCTACCCATTATCTAACTAAAACACTTTGTACACGATAGCTTAAGGTTACACTTCAACAGAATCAACATCCTTAGCACTCTGTCATGTTGCTAAATATCCTAGTTGTGACAGTGCTGTGAACTACATTTTGGATGGTTTAATCTCTGCGATATCACTTTATGAATAGCTCTGGTGCTCCCAGTTAAAATCAAGTCCACTCTATCAACTCCACCGTCAGGAATCGAGAGATTCAACTCCAACTCCAGAAAACCCTGAGTTGTGCATCAATAGGTAGGGCTACCAGAGCAAGTTGTACTTTTGCACCCTCATAAATACAATTCATAAACAGTGCTCAATTTGAACAAAAACCCACCTATTCAAAAATCAAGTGTTTATCGTAAATCAAATTAACTTATTAACCAAAAGCACTGGACAAACATTTATGCATTTGTCGAAAAAAGGTTAATCAGTTAATTGTTAACATCTCTACTTCTGATTACCCTGCAAATTTTCTGTGAGGTTTACCTTAGGGAACTGAGACGGCCACTGCAAAAGCTTGATTCTGTGGTCAGTGACACATTCTATACTACTGACAAACATCAGTTTAATACATCTGAGGACAGTATAATGCAAGTTCTATTAAATTCACAAGACAAAGCCTACTACAGCATAACAATATTAAAACAGTCTTTATCTGTCCACAAGTATTAAGTACACAATATTGTTCCTGAGTGTTGGGATTAAGACATTTTTGACTTTTTTTTTTCTTCAGATAAAGGTTCTTTAGTTCTGGGGGTTCCCAGACATGGAAGACCCTGTAATTAAATGTAATTCTTAAAATGATATATTTTATTATATATATTTCACATCCATAGGAATATTTTTCTATTGCAAAAAATATTCATATAAAATCATATAAAATATGAAGTAAGACACAAGTGGTGACTAACATTATGTGTTTCATTTCTTAACATGAACAACATAGAGGAAGTTTCCTGGATTTGGATTAAACATACTTTAGTCTAGGCTTAGGCTTAATCTAGATATGGGAGACTGGCCCATGAGGTACTACATTAATAATAGTTAGCTACATTGGTATTCCAACTTTAGACTTATCTATCGACTTGTGCTGCTCAAACAGTTGCACGCATGCAGTGGAGTTCGCACAAAACAGCCATGTCTGAATTATCCACAGGAGTGGGAATGGCCAGGTTTTACTAAGGAAACCTGAGTAGAAAAGTTTATTTGGAATAGACTGGAAAAGGGAACATATATTTTGAAAAACAAACATGAATGTTATGTTATCTGCAAAGGGCTGGCTTGGCTGCAAAACAGAGGCATGCCTGAGTTATCCACAGGAGTGGGAATGGCCAGGTTTCACTAGGGAAACCCAAGTAGAAAAGTATATTTGCTTACAGAAAAGTCCTGCTTCTGTTTCCCAGCTTAGTCATGCCCTTACAGCTGATTTTGCCCGATCAGTAACCCAAAGAAACATGATGAACATCACTTTCATCATGTTGAACCATTCTCTGCATAGGTATGTTTGTGGTTTCTGTTCAGCCTGTCTTATCCAAGTATTCAAATAATACTCTGTAATCTGTAACATTTTAAGAACTGACCTGATCATGGTACTGTCATACCTCGTAGATGGGTATCATAAGTTAGGTAGGATATTTGGTATCACACCATGCACAAATTTTGTTTAAAAAATTGGAATTACTTGTCATGTAAATATCTTTTTGAAATCTTACTTACTAATATTTTCTGCAACGTAGATTTAAATATTTTTAAAATAAACACCAAAATACATTTGTGGGTATTTGATTCAGTATTTCAAGTACACTGGCAAGAACACAAACTTGTTAAATGATAATAAACCATATTTTGCATTTAACAATAAATATCTTAAATATTTTCGAATTCCTGCCTCCAAGTATGATCACCACATTTGAAGTATGAATTCAGGAAATAAATTTTATTATAACCTCATTCTCGATGTTGTACAGCTTTCTCAATCTCAATCTCAATCAAATGACCATGTCCAATAAGTAGACCAAAAAAACACCACATATTGTTGTAAAGTTTGTCATACTATGAACATATGAAAGGTCCATTTACTGCAGCATTTTAACATAAAAGGCTGCCAAAGTTACCAGAACAGTTCATTGACTTAGTAATATGCACTCCATTCAAATGACACGAGACAAATTCTACACATCATAATATGGCTATTACTAAACAGTAGACTCTTATTTAAAGAGTATCAGACTATAGGAGAAACCAAATATGCGGTAAATGCATTACAGCATTTTTAAGCAAATGGCAACCAAAGTTACCAAATCAGTTCATTTATCACGATCACGATCCAGAAACGCTGCCAGTCTTCTCTGGGCCAAAGCTCATATAAAATGGACTGAGGCAAAATGGAATCGCCATGGATGCTGTGTCCTGCGGACTCAAGAGGAGAGGGACTATCCAGCTTGTTATCAGCACACAGTTCAAAAGCCTGCATTTCTAATGGTATAAGGTTGCATTAGTGCCTATGGCGTGGGCAGCTTGCGCATCTGGAAAGGCACTATCAATGCTGAACAGTATATAGTGGTTTTAGAACAACATATGCTCTTTCAGGGAAGGCCTTGCATATTTCAGCAAGACAATGCTAAACCACACACTGCATCCATCACAACAGCATGGCTTTGCAGAAGAAGAGTCCGGGTGTTGAACTGGCCTACCTGAAGTCCAGACCTTTCACCAGTAGGAAACGCTTGGCCCATCATGAAACGAAAAATCCAGCAAAGAAGACCCAGGACTGCTAAGCAGCTGGAATCCTACATCAGACAAGAATGGGACAATATTCCTCTCCCAAAACTCTAGCAATTGGTCTCCTCACTTCCCAGACGTTTACAGGCTGTTGTTAAAAGAAGAGGGGATGCTACACAATGGTAGACATGTCCCTGTGCCAACTTTTTGGAGATGCGTTTCTGCCATCAAGTTCTCAATTAGTTAATATTTTTCATGAAATAGTAATATGTCTCACTTTCAACATCTGATATGTGTTCTATGTTCTATTGTGAGTAAAATATGGGTCTATGAAATTTGCAAATCATTGCATTCTGTTTTTATTTACAATTTACACAGTGTCCGAACATTTTTGAAATTGGGGTTGTATAAACACAGAAAGTCGTACTTTTCCATTTATGGCTGCAAACGACATTTATCTTTTTCAGGTAAAGAACCAAACTTACTTGTCACGTAACGATAGCTAAACCTAACGAGGCTAGTCATAGAGTGAATTTAAACTTACCAAACTGTCTTCCTTTTAACTTGTTAAATTCTTCAGTTGCTGTTTGCTGGTTTAAATCGTCACATGGACTACACTTATTTATAATAAAAATTGAATTCAGCTCATTCAATATTTAGAGTTTTTTACACTCCTCCACTTCTCTTTCTACAGTTTAGCGGTCAGCTTGCTGTGCAGCTACAATCGTCATTTTTTGTTAATTAAGTCGCACAAGAGGTTCTTAAAGGAACATGCACCACTTTAGGAACAAAACGTTATTATGTGAAGTTTATTAACTTTCAGTCTTTTCATTTTCTTAAATATTATTAGTACCACTATATATTATTACAATTATGTATAAATTACATATATTATGCCCAAAATGGCCCTAACAACTAATTATTAATCAATAAATTAGTAAGAATTAAACAGATAAAGAAACTTAGTATAGAATAGTTTTTCTCTCTGATTACTATAATCATAAGCTTGGGTAAACTTGCAGAGAGCCTTTCATGGAAAGGAGAATCAGTATTATTCCACTCAGCACTGATGACTTCAAACAGCTAAAAAAAAGACATTGCCAAGTTAGTTTGTTATTAATGTGAGAACAAATAGTCTAACTTTTTTTTAAACAATTTCTTTATGCTGTTTCACTGTTTTATTTATAGTGTTTTACACTAAAATTATATTGTCATACTAATATTGAAGACATAAATAGCAGTGTACATGTCATAGCAACATTCAAATAACTTTAATGTACCAATGTTGAGGACAAGTTGAAACCCTAATGTTATAGTAAAATTGAAATAATGTTGACATTTCAAAATTGAAGTGAGGCTGACAAACCGTCATGATAACATTAAAATTATGTTGACATGTTGGATTATCTGTTCGCTAGCCGCTGCGTACTGCAATTCAAAACCATTAAGGGCCCAACATGGGTAAGTTATGTAGGTCTAATGTGGAGTGACCCACAGTGAGCCTGTGTCAGGTCATCTGAGGGCAAGCCCAATAGTGTACTGCACACCCAAATGCAATAAGAGCCCACAGTGGGCCTGTGTCAGGTTATCTGTGGGCTAGCCTAGTGGTGTACCGCCTACCCAAATCCATTAAGAATCCAACGTTAGCTAAGTGATGTAGGCCCAGTGCGGAGAGACCCACAATAGGCCTGTGTCAGATTATCTGTTGGCTAGCCCAATAGTGTACAGCCCACTCAAATCCATTAAGGGCCCACAGAGGGCAAAATGATATGGGCTAGTCCAGTGGTGCACTGCACAAACAGAGACCTTTTAGGGCTCACTGTGGGCTGACTCACAGTGGGCCAGCATAGGGTTATCTGCTGGCTAGCCCTAGCCCAGCCCACAGATATGCCTAAGTGGGCCCACATGGGCATGTTTGCAGGGGATGAGCTACTGTCTCTAACTTTACATCTACAAGGTGGAACAACAGGGTAGTAGTATCTAATAGAGTGACAGTGAGTTGACATAGTATTCAAAAACTCCAGCCGCACTGCTGTGTCTGATCCACTCAGACCAGTGCAAAACATACAACACTCCACACGTCAGTGTCACTGCAATGCTGAGAATGATGCACTACCCAAGTAATACCTGGTCTTGGAGGTCCTGTAGGGGTCCTAACCACTGAAGAACAGGCTGAAAGGGGGCTAACCAAGTATGCAGAGAAACAAATGGACTACAATCTATTGTAGAACTACAAAGTTCAATGGTAAGTGGAGCTGATAAAATGGACAGTGACCGTGGAAACAAAGTATGTGTACCTAATAAAGTGCTCAGTGAGTGTACACTGCGTACACAACAGTGTTGAGTGAAACAACTTACAGTGCTAGCTAGTTTTGTAGCCTTTATAGCACACAGGATGTCTGGTCTATCCGCCACCTCATGGAACTTGTGCAGCTCTTGATTCTTTCTATAGGTCACCTTGAGGAAAATGCAGAAATGCAGATGAGAAAAACTCACTTTTAAACTTCTCACAATGCATGTATGTATGGCATATATCAATTGGTGTGTTTGTATCTCTCAGATGATTCCAATAGCTCTTCGCCACTGACCAATGCAGTATAACATGGTGCGGTCAGAAATTCAAAGATCACACATTTTGTCATCATTTCCATTGCAGAGTGATCTGTACCATAAACGAGTATCCATCCAGAATTTGATTACGCCTCTTGCTGGGATACCACGTGTCCCAAACCAGGACATATCGGTGAAACCAGACCATTTGACTGGTCAAATGCAATCATCTGAAAATTGTCATGTTGCATCAACCAGGTTGGGAAACTGCTATTTCGTTAAAATGCTATCTTCATGTAAACTAAATGTAGAGTAAAAGGCAGTGGGGAACCAGGGCTTGACAGTAAGCATTTTTGAGAAGAAAATGCAAATTTCACTTGTCTGAAGGACAAAATCACAAATCTCATGATTTTCTGAGCTACCGATAAGTGATCAGTGCCTACATTTTAAAAAAAGCCAGAAAATGAACGCATTAGCATTAACTGAGTCCTGCTTTTTACGATGGTTACTTTTGCAGGTAACAGCTATTTCTCAGCCAAACTTCAAAGCATGTAGAAGCAAACCTCTCTTGTTCTCCTCCAAGTAGGAATAAATTTTCATTCTCATTTAGACACGTACACGTAGTGTTAGTTTATGGATAGACTTATTTCAGAGCTTTATCTGGTATTTGGCTTCAAAAACATTCTGACTGTTACAGTGTCTGCCCTCTGAGGAGACTCTACTTGGAGCACTAGCTCCACTACTCTTATTTCTTTGTTAATTTTTGATAATAAAAAAAAAAAAAATAAATAAAACAGAGCTGTGGCAGCTACATGCTAGGGTTCTTTACTGAGTCACTACAAAACTGCAACATACAAGGTAAAATATATGTTTATATCAAAGCTTAAACTACTTATAAATGCTGTGGCAGATGCCAACAAGGGCCGCAAGGAGCGCTGAGAGACTGGCACTCGAACCCCCTAGTGCTGCAGAGAGCAGCGAAAACCCAGTGGCAAACACAAGCGTTGCCAAGAGCGCAGTGTCAAGTCCACCGACAGGAGGCAAGGACAATGCCAAGACTTTGGCGCCACTTCCACAAGCACTATTGAGAGCCATGGAAAGCAACAAGTGCCTGGCAATCAACCAGCAAGCGCTGCCTCCTTGCACTGCCATTGAACTACACCAGGCATTTAACAGTTTCCTCGTGTTGTGGTCAGAGTTGGTCAAAATGGTGAAAAATGTTCATGTGTTGCAGCGTTAGCTTAGCACTACTGACATACTATTAGATATCACAAAAAGGCGCTAGAGAAATTTGCATTATTACAGAGATGTTTTTAGTTTTGACATTTATGGCCTGAACTGAAAGACCAGATGTTTGCCACTGGTAGAAGTGAAACTTGAAGCCTTTCCATTGTTGTCGCAGTTGTGTAACTGTTAAAACTCACGGGAAGTCCTGTCATCACTACATGACTGCCAGAGAACCCTACCTACTGTCACGAACACGGATGTGTGATGGGAAATGGTCACAGATACTGGACCAGGGTGCAAATAATTCTGGATTTGGATTGTTAACCGCACCATGCCATACTGTACTGCCTGGAGGAAAAATTTTATTAAATAAAAATGATAAAGGCAAAGAGAAAACTATTCATTCCTGTACTGGAGGGAATAGAAACATTATAATACATGCATCACACATTCATATCAATACTACAGGGGCTGAACTACAGATTAGATTAGATTTTCACTATCCTATATTATAGAGATATAGCACTGATGCCAGCTTATCACAGCAGTACAGAGGAAAAGGTATGTGTCTTAAACAATTGAAAAAGCAATTACACTGCTCTGCTGCCTGTTGACCTCCATGGCGTGGTCCACCTCTGGCAGTGTTTTCATGTAAGCGTAGATAGATTTCCCTTTCTCTGCACTGTAGTTTCCCTTGTATAGTTTCTAGAGCAAAGCATACACAGGCAAGAATATTGCAAGTATAGCCTTCTACATGTCACTACATGCTGCACTCACATTCACTTGAGGGAGCATGGTCTTGACATATTCCATTAGTAAAGAGCAGCATTTTGCAATCTTTCTTTGCTTGCCAGTTTAATAGGCAACACCTACTTTCAGGCACATAGAACATTCCAAATGTTATGTGACTGTGGTATGTATAAATGAAAGTATAAATCATTGACATTTACCCAAATTTCTCCCCAATGAAGCCATAGTGAAACCCACCTGTTAGCAAATTCTGTCTGTATCACACAATCCTACCAAACTGGGAGGGTGAGGACTAGCACATACTTCCTCCAAAACATGTGAAGTCAGCCAGTGCATTTTCTCAAACTGCCACTAATGAAATGCCATGGAAAGCTCAATGTGCTTGGAGAAAAATATATAATGAAAGTTGTTGTCCCAGGAGTCGTGTCACTAGTGTTACCGTGTAACAAAAAATTGCAAAATTAAATATTTTGAAATAAAAAATCACACTCCCTTCCTGTCGTGGCGGAAGGGCTTGTGTGGTCTAGGGATCTTCAGAGCCAAGTCGTCGGGAGCAACATGCTCCTGGTAGGGTCTCCCAGGGCGAACAGGTCTGGAGTGAAGACCCAGACTAACTCAATCCAAAAACCTCCATGAAAAACGGACACAGAAGATTGTGTACCCTGCCCGGGAGAGGGTCACCGGGACCTACCCCTGGAGCCAGGCCTGGGGGTAGCATCCCTCGGCGAGCGCCTGGTGGCTGGGCAGCCCACGTAACCCGGCTGGGCTCAGCCCGAAGAGGCAACGTGGGGGGACCATGTGGGCCCACCCACCGTCCAGCATAGGGGAGTGGTGCAGTGCCGTACAGGCAGTGGGAGATTGCAGGGGGGCCCTTGGTGGCCTAGGCCCCTACGGCAGAAACTGGCTCTTGGTACGTGGAATGTAACCTTACTTGGGGGGAAGGAGCCGGAGCTTGTGCGGGAGGTTGAGAGGTACCAATTAGATATAGTTGGGCTCACCTCCACCCACAGTATCGGCTCTGGAACCAAACTCCTGGATAGGGGTTGGTCCCTCTCCTACTCCGGAGTTGCACAAGGTGAGAGGCGCCGGGCGGGTGTGGGGATACTCACGAGTCCCCGGCTGGCGGCAGTGCAGTTGGAGTTTGTCCCGGGGGACGAGAGGGTCGCCTCAATGCGTATTAAAATCGCAGAGAGGAAAACTCTGACTGTTGTGTGTGCTTATGGAGCAAGTGGGCGGGGTTCTGGAAAGGGTCCCGCCTACAGACTCCATAGTCTTACTGGGAGACTTCAATGCTCATGTTGGCAATGACTGGGAGACCTGGAGAGGCGTGATTGGGAAGAACGGCCTGCCCGATCTAAACCCGAATGGTGAATTGTTATTGGACTTCTGTGCCAGGCATGGATTGTCCATAACGAACACCAAGTTCGAACACAAGGATGTTTATAAGTGTACATGGTACCAGAGCTCCTTGGGTCAAAGGTCAATGATTGACTTTGTTGTCGTTTCATCTGACTTGGGACCATATGTTCTGGACACTCGGGTGAAGACAGGTGCTGAGCTGTCAACTGATCACCATCTGGTGGTGAGTTGGATCAGAAGGCAGGGAAGACTGAGGGTTAGACCCGGTAGGCCCAAGCGACTAGTGAGGGTGTACTGGGAACGACTGTCGGAGGCCCCTGTTCGGAATGATTTTAACTCCCACCTCCGGGAGAGCTTTTCTCATGTCCCGGAGGAGGTAGGGGACATAGAGTCTGAATGGACCCTGTTCAAAACCTCCATTGTGGAAGCTGCCAGGCATAGCTGTGGCCAAAAGCTTGTTGGTGCCTGTCATGGCGGTAACCCAAGAACCCCCTGGTGGACACCGGTGGTGAGGGAGGCCGTCAAGCTGAAGAAAGAGGCCTTTAGGGACTGGATGGCCCAAAGGACTCCCGATTCAGCAGATAGGTACCGACAGGCATAAAAGGTGGCAGCTGCAACGGTGGCAGAAGCAAAATCCAGGGCGTGGGAGGAGTTTGGTGAGGCCATGGAAAAAGACTTTCGGTTGGCCTCAAGGAGGTTCTGGACGACTGTCCGGCAACTCAGGAGCGGTCGGGGTGGCTGCGCCCAGGCTGTATTCAGCAGGGGTGGAGAAACTCTGACTTCAATTGAGGATATTGTCGGCCGGTGGAAAGAGCACTTTGAGGAACTCCTTAATCTGGGAGACATGCCTCCCTCACGGGAGTCAGGGCCAGAGGCCTCTGGTGTGTCAAGCTCCATTTCCCTGGTGGAGGTCACTGAGGTAGTTGGCAAGCTCTTCAGTGGCAAGGCACCGGGGGTGGATGAGATTCGTCCGGAGATGCTTAAGGCTCTGGATATTGTGGGACTGTCGTGGCTGACATGCCTCTGCAATAGTGCATGGACCTCGGGAACAGTACCCTTGGACTGGCAGACCGGGGTGGTGGTCCCTATTTTCAAGAAAGGGGACTGGAGGGTGTGTGCCAACTATCGGGGTATCACACTGCTCAGCCTCCCTGGGAAAGTCTATGCCAAGGTGCTGGAAAGGAGACTTCGATCGATGGTTGAACCTCAGATTGAGGAGGAACAATGCAGATTCCATCCTGGCCGTGGAACAATGGACCAGCTTTTCACCCTCTCACAGATTGTTGAGGGGGCATGGGAGTTTGCCAACCCAGTCTACATGTGTTTTGTGGATTTGGAGAAGGCTTACGACCGTGTTCCCCGAGATATCTTGTGGGGGGTCCTCCGGGAGTATGGGGTGCTGGGGTTACTACTCCGGGCCATTCAATCTCTGTACGCCCGGAGTGAGAGCTGTTTTCATATACTCGGCATTAAGTCGGACTCTTTCAGTGTTAGTGTTGGACTCCGCCAGGGTTGTGCCCTGTCTCCACTCCTGTTTGTGATATTCATGGACAGGGTGTCAAGACGTAGCCGGGGTCAGGAGGGCATTATGTGTGGAGGCCGGAGGGTGGCGTCTCTGCTATTTGCAGATGATGTTGTTCTTTTGGCTGGATCACATGGATGCCTCCAGCGCGCACTGGAGCGGTTTGCAGCTGAGTGTGAAGCGGTTGGTATGCGGATCAGCACCTCCAAGTCTGAGTCCATGGTCTTAGCCCAGAAAAGGATGGTATGCCCACTCCAGGTAAGGGGAAAGGACTTGCCCCAGGTGGAGGAGTTTAAGTATCTCGGGGTCTTGTTCACGAGTGATGGGAAGAAGGATCGTGAGATCGACCGCAGGCTGGGACAAGCGGCAGCAGCAATGCAGTCGCTGTACCGGACTGTAGTGATGAAGAGGGAGCTGAGCCGTAAGGCGAAGCTCTCTGTTTACCGATCGGTCTACATCCCAACCCTCACCTATGGTCATGAGCTGTGGGTAATGACCAAAAGAATGAGATCGCGAATACAAGCGGCGGCAATGAGCTTTCTTCACAGGGTGGCGGGCTACACTCTATTTGATAGGGTGAGGAGCTCTGCCATCCAGGAGGAGCTTGGAGTAGACCCGCTACTCCTCCGCATTGAGAGGAGCCAGCTGAGGTGGTTCGGGCATCTGACCTGGATGCCCCCTGGACGCCTCCCGGTGGGGGTGTACCAGGCACGGCCTACCGGAATAAGACCCCGGGGTCGTCCTAGGGCCTGCTGGAGGGATTATATCTCCAAGTTGGCCTGGGAGCGGCTTGGGGTCCCCGGGAATGAGCTGGAGGAAGTTGCGGGGGACAGGGTCATCTGGGATTCTCTGCTCTCCCAACTGCTACCGCGACCCTATCTGGACTAAGTGGTTAACGATGATGATGATGATGAAAAATCACACTGATGACATCAATTGACTTCCTTTTACCTATCTAGGATCTATGAAGAAAAGCACAAGTCCACTGTGTCTTTCAGTTAGTAGAAATTTTCTCATTTAGCTCATGATTTCCTATGAAGCTTTTAGTTGACGTCACTGGTGTGACCTACTTTATTCTTAGGTAACTGTGAAAAAATTTAATACAAACGGATTAAATTACATATTTTAGTGGAAATTTCATGATTGACAACAAGTGCTTTGATACTCTGTAACAGCCATTTAGTTAAATGCATTTTTCATGAAAAATGTCACTGGTGTTACTGTCACTGATGTTACTTTTCTTATGTGTAACAACAGTGACAATCAGTAACACCAATGACTCCTATGCATACATAAATGTTATTCAAAGCTGTTCATTGAGTTCCTTTGCATAAAATACAACACAGACATCATGATTATAATTTTCTTTATCACTGTTAATGCTCTTTTGGTCAGTAATGGCTAAATGAAATGAAGCTGAGAAGCAGCAACTTTACAAACAGCACAGGGATGCTGATCCTGAACGCAGAGCAGAATACTTGCAGAAGGAAACAGGGCTATGCCAGAGACACTGACAAAAAAGAGGAAGGGAATAAATGATTTAAGTGAAAGGAAGAAGAGAGCTGAACATACGATAGGATATAATCTCTATTTTCAGTTGTTGTTAGGATCCGTGCTGCCACATTTTGTATGAGTTGTAAGGGATGTATAATTTTCTTAGGATGTCCAGTAAGAAGTCATTACAGTGATCAACTCTGTTTGTAACAAATGCATGAAAAGTTTCTCTGCGTTGCTCTGAGACAGAAAAGGCCAAACTTTAGTGATATTTCTCACATGCTAAAAAGCTGCTTTACTGTTTGTGTTTACATGTGGGATAAAACAGAGCTCGGAGTCTAAGGTCACACCCAGGTTTCGTACTTCAGGTTTTGTATATGAAGCTAAAGAACCAAGTTTCTCATAAAGCATTTTTAGTACCAAATCTGTTTGTTTGTGATATAATTGTAGAGAAACAAAGGCCCTAAAACTGAACCTTGAGGGACTCCACAAGAAATGTTACATTTTTTGATGAATGATTTCATCAAAATGAACTACAAGATAGTATTCAAGATAGTGTATCTTGTGGTCAACAGTACCA